CTCTCCTGAGGGTGGGCGGCGGGTCACCGGGCTGATGGCGGTAGCTGTGGCGGGGGGGCTTCCTAGGGACAGACCTAGTCGCCCTTAAGAAAAGAAAATATATACAGACATCGTTTATCGCAGAAGGAAACTTCTGGAACGGGCAGCTTCGAGATGGGGGTTGCTTAATTCTTTAAATGTCTGTGGTAATTAAGCATGGGCACACATCAGAGACCGGCCTGTTAGGATGTCCTGCGGCGAGCTCAGGTTGGAGATCCGTGATCCTGGATCGCGGAGCTGGGAGTTCTCCCGCCTGAGCGGCTCTTCACCCCACCCAGTAGTATTCCTTGGGGGATTCCTGCTCTGGCAGCCAGGGCAAAGAGTTGAGGCTTGCAGCAGGGGAAAGACTGGTGGCTGAAAATAGCCAAACTCCTCAAAAGAAAACCTCCCCTTTGCGAGTGAGAGAGGTTTTTTTTTCCCCCCCCTGTCAAAGGGTACAATGCTACATCTAGTATCGGATGCCCTGTGGATGTTACTGGGATTTTGTGCTTGTATAAATAAAATCTGACTGCTCAGTTAAATAGTTTGGAACGGCTTGTGCCAAATTAATTGCAAAGGTAATGCATAGAAAAGCTTAAGTCACTGTATTAAAATTATGATGCTGAAGTGCTTCCCTTTCTCCACCCCTACCTCAGAGGCCAAAAATGCCAAAGAGGTGGCCCGACAGAATACAGATGGATCTCAGCCACCTGCTGGCCACCCACCTGCTGGTGCTAGCCAGAGCTCTGCTACCAAATGCCCATTCCTGGCAGCTCAGATGAATCACAAGAACAGCAATGTTTTCTGCAAAGCCAGCCTAGAACTCCAGGAGGATGTGCAGGAAATGCAGGCAGACAGGAAAGGTATGTATTCTGTGCGCTGAAGCATTGGTTCTTTCCGAGAGCTTCTGGTGCCTGACTTTGCTCTAGAGTGTGCCCAGACTAACAGTCACCACTGAAATTATGTAGGTAGGATTATGGGAGACTGCAGTAAAAAGTTGTTGGAGAATGTCGGTGTTAATGGCATACCCGCAATATTGTGCGGTGTTTCCCCTGGGTGATTTTGGTGCGGGAATACTGTATGCTGTATTTTGATATGCTGGCTCTAAATGTGTGAATCGAGCTGTTACGCTTGCACCCAAAGTGGATGCTTAGGACTGAAGAGAGCTTTACCAGGGTGCTAGTATAGACAAAGGTGATATATCCAGAGATGGAAGAAACTGTATTGAGGTACTATGCAAGTACCAGCACAAATTCAAGCTGAAAAGCAAGCAAATGCTTTTTTTGTTTGTTTATGGAACTAAAGGGTGTTGGCTGGCTTGCAATCCTGATGCGGAAGGGCTGTCCTTCAAAGGAAGGAACTTTTCACCAATATTGGTAAAGCCTTGCCGCCTGTCTCGAGAGGCTTATTTTACTTTTCTGTTTGTTTTCTGTGGCATAGTCTTAAAAATCTGTACTAACTGAACAAAATATTGGGAATGAAAAGGAAACGGCTAACTTGAACTGTGCTGTCAGTTAGGTGTGTACCAACTCTTTCAGAAAAATGCTGTAGCTGTATAGAGTGGGTCTCCGAGTCATGATGTACCAAATGTTTTGTAAGGAAACTACATGTTGTATTGTCATTGAATAGCAAGGTTTTCCTTTTGTCTCGTACAATGCAAAATCGTAAGCAAATAAAATAGTTGATCCTAACAGGGGCACATGGATTCAGGCACGTGCTTCCTAAAGAATGAAGAGTTAGAGTTACTTAAAGTGTTTGCTTTGCTGAACTCAACTTACTTCATTTTGTTTCAAACTAATTAAGCTCACTGGAATTTATTACAATGTCTGTAGGTACAGCATTTGCCAAAATACCAACTACTTCCACAGTGAGGAATATTGAGACCGAGGGAGAAGAGTGGAGTGGCTTGCTCAAGAAGTTTAAGGATATTGTGCTGAAGCAAAGACCAGAAAGTGTCTCTCATCTGCTTCAGGATAACTTGCCAAAATGTAAGATTGTCTAGCAAAACCGCCACAGGCCTGGTCTCTTGTGATTATTTCCTGTGTGCTTAAGTCTCTGTCTCATTTCAGCTGTATCCACCTTCCAGTATGATCAGTTCTTTGAGAAAAAGATAGATGAAAAGAAGAAGGATCACACCTACCGAGTATTCAAAACAGTGAACCGAAAGGCACAAATCTTTCCCATGGCAGATGACTATACCGATTCTCTAATCACCAAGAAAGAGGTGTCTGTTTGGTGCAGCAACGATTACCTGGGGATGAGTCGTCACCCTCGTGTGTGTGGAGCAGTTATGTGAGTAGTGCCATATTCTTAAGAGGCAGCTTCAAGCTGTAGTGCCCCACAGAAGCTTTTGTGGGAAGGCTTTTGAAGAATTGATTTCTATACTGTGCTATGTAAGCAGCTTCTGGTATTACTCTTGATATAATTAAGCTTACACTCTTCTCTTGAGCTGGGGTAGGTAACTTAGTATTTAGCTCCAGGGCTGCAGTACACCTGTCAGTCACTGACCCTGCTCCTTGGATTTTCCTCAGCAGCCCCCAGATGTTACCAGATAAACTGGATGGTATGTTGCAGTTGTACTTGGTAACCGATTTCTTAGCTTATCGGATTCCTGAGCTGTGCAGGTTGCTCAAAGACCTTAAACCTAACAGCTGCTTCTTGCAGCCAGTTCCTTTTTAGAACAATACCGATGATGTACTAGAATGTTTTTGACAATGACACTTTATTCATCTGTGTGGTTTGCAGTAATGCTAATGCCTCTCTTTGGGCCCTCTGTAGGGATACACTGAAACAACATGGTGCTGGAGCAGGAGGCACAAGAAATATTTCAGGGACAAGTAAATTTCATGTTGATTTGGAAAAAGAACTAGCTGATCTTCATGGAAAAGATGCAGCACTGTTGTTCTCATCTTGCTTTGTAGCCAATGACTCCACCCTCTTCACTCTAGCTAAGATGCTGCCAGGTGAGACCTCAAACTGCACCCCCTATTTACCACAAAACAACCCTGCCCTAAGCAGTTGGGAGTACACTTTACAAATGGATACCCAAAGTGAGGATTCATCCTACTTGATCAGCAAAGCATGGTTGCGGTTTTTTTAATGCCATATTCAAGTTAGGTTCAACTCATGCAAATCATAGCAGCAGCCTACTGAGATCTAAGATCTAGGAGCTAGGAACTGCAGAAGGCGTTAGACAAAATGCAGAGTCTTCTGCTCTTGTGTGTAAATT